GATATATTTTGATAAAAATAAAAGTCGAACTTATTTTATATTTGTTGGGTAAAGTCCCTAATAACACACAGCTGTCAGCTTGAAATTATACTTTTTGTAGTTTTGAATAGCAATAATATGAACAGTAGAAAAAAAGCATGTGATTCAAGTGATGTGGAGCCATAATCATTTCTATTTTTACTGTTGATTTACTGAGTGATTTGAGGCACCAAACATTGTTATCTGTACCTGAGCGTAGCTCCTGTAGCTCAGAGTCTTTCAGCAGACTCACACTCAGCAGTAAGGCCTTGCTGACATACAGCTGCTGCTCCAGGGGTGTGTGCTTCACTGCACTGGGGTTAGCCCAGGCCTGGGACACAGACCGTAACACCTGAGAGCACACACACGACAAAATAATCAATATATACGACGTTATATCATTTGGCTGCTAAGCATCCTGATGCACTCACCTGGATGAGCAGTGGCCTTCGCTCCCTGTCTGCTGCGAGGTAACCCAGAACAATTCTCAAGACTCGAGTCTGAGAATAAACATAAATGCTTCATATGATACTTACAAGATACACATGTGGTTTACTGTCAGACTGCAAGTTATCTTCTTACCTCATACTTGTACTGTAGTAACAGCAGTTTATGAGTGATAACAAACTGGGCTTTTTTATTTGTTAACACTAGATTCCCAATGATCCTGCCCAAGGCATCAGACCTGAAAAACGAGGCAAGAGACAGTTGTCATTAAGGGCAGATAAAAAGGTCATAGCTAGATAAACTGCTTGCTGTTTAAATGCATTTGACTGAAGCTCTAACCATCTTACCCGCTGACAGCTTGCACCAGTCCAGTGAGCACGCTCTCCACCCATTGCTGTGGAACATTCGCCAGCAGCTTCCAGCAGACCCTCTGCCACACCATGTCTGAGCGTGTGCAGACAGACAGCCGAGGAGCCATCACTGCCAGCACCAAACCTGCAGACAGAAAAACAAAATGCCAGAGGAGGATTAAGGGGATTCTGTGTCACTGCGGACCCTAATAATCAGATGTCCATTAATCTATTTGGTGAAAGAAAAACATCATAAATGTGTGATTGATAATAAACTTGAAGAGCCAAAAGATGTTTGCATCTGAAACTTTCCTGTAAAAACCTCGGCTATATGTTGAATAATATTCATTGTGTTGCTTTGCATGTTTTTAATGTGCACAATGTCTTCCTTTGCCATTTCCAGACACAGCTGTTGAGTAAAGTTCGATGCTAATCTGATGCTTTTGATTGGTTCTCACGTTTCAATTTGCAGCGCCACCAATCTGCCAGTTAAACTGCCTCTCAGCTGTCCTTTGACATGGTTAACAGAGAATAGTAGAAATTTAGAAAAGTAATCAAAAAGTAATTAAATGTAATAAGTTACATTAGTTTGACAAAGTCATTGAAAGAGTTACACTACTATTACATTTTAAATAGGATAATTTGTAATTAGTAACTTTATACATTTCCAAGGTAGCATTCCCAACACTCATGGTTTGACCTTTAAAATGTCACCATAAAAAAAAGATTTAATATAATATAATGTAAAACACGGAAAAGGAACAAAATGTAAGATTTTTTTTTAATTAAATCATTCTAAAAATTGAGGCCTGACAAATTTAAGCTTGGAGTTGCATTTGAAGCCGGGCTTGTTGATAATATTTCTTGTTACATATTATCATGACCATGTAATATCCACTTGTAAAGCTAATGGAGCTACCCATCAACCATGAGGCTTGCAGTGTGAATGGAAGGAGACACAATATACATAAGAATAATTCCAACTGACTATTTTTGCAGCTTCCAAACTTGTAAGTAAACTCACCACTATGGCCCTGGATACACAGTTTTCCAAGTGTCTGAGCCACAAAAGTCAAGGAGCAGTCGGTGCCATCTGTTCAACATAGTTCAAGATTAATAGATGGGATTAGAAATGCTAATTTTGATTCCAACACCAATGCATTCTTCGTTTAAAAGATGTTCCCTCGCCTTTAAGTGCTTGGCAGGTCCGCTCCAGGGCAGTGAGCATCTCTGAGGCCAGTAGAGGGTAGTACTGCTGAGGAAGAAAAAGAGGCTTGTTGTTTGGATGTAACCTGTTGGCGGTGAGGTCTGGCAATGCCACAATACGTCCCAGCAGAATCTCTCTGAACTGGGGGGAGTCAGAAGGCCCTGCCTCCAGGCAGTAGGCCCACAGCAGGTCAGAGAGTCGACCACTCTGAAGGAACCTCTCAGTGATGCTGACCAAGTGGTCCAGATTTGAGCTGGCTCTGTGGTGGAGAGACAATTAATGAATAGACAAAATGATGGCGACGCCTCCAAACCCCTATCCAACACTACTCACCTTAGCTCTCCTATTCCCTCCATCAGCACCAGCAGCGCCTGCTCCGGAGGGCCTCTGAGGAACAGGCCGTCCCATAACGCCGTGCGCTGGGCTGCTGTGAGGCTGGGGAACCAGTCGGCCTGGATGTTGCTGATAAGGAACCGAAGGGTACGAGTGAAGTGAGCTCTCTTGAACTCTGCCCGCTGAACTGAAGTGGTTCTACTCTCTGGTCCTTCATCCAAGTAATAGTGGAGTGCTTGAAGAGCAATTACAATGTCTTTGTTATCTGTGGACGTAGTGAGGGTCCGGAAACACTGGGCCACCGCCAGGCGAACCTCAGCATGTGGGCCAAGGGACTCCATCTTTGAAACCTTGTTTTACCTCCTAAACAAAAACATTAAAAGGACATTTCATCCTGCAGCAATGAATAGTTTCTACCAAGGTATGACTGCTAAATATCTATTTCCACACAGAAACAAACACACAACTGTTTAAAGTATGTATCTAATAATTAGCTATTACATTTTGAGGATTTAGCTACTAACTATATCAGCACATCACACCAAAACTCTGTGGATGCGCAGCCTTCACTGATGCTAGTTCATTTTGTTGTAGGTCATATCTCCCTCTACTCTGGTAACTTAGCTTACAGTCTAAGTGTAGCAACAACAGGCTCATTTTCATCAAGCTAGTAACTACGGTTAAGGTTTCAAAATACAGCAGCTGTCAATGGAAACAGAAGTGAATTAAGTTAGCTTCAACTGTACTGGCCTATCAAAAATGATAACGTTACGCACCAGGGCATTTTAATTAAACGAAACAACATAAGTTTATATGGCCGGACACTGGTTTTGTCATTGTGACATTAAAACATGTATTTTCGAGGTGAAAGTTGCTGTTTCTTCTGTCGTGTTTGGTCAAGAATGTCCCGCCGTGTCGCTCCGCTCTCCGTGTGCTCCATCAAAATACATCCGTGAGGAGCAAGAAGGAGAGGAGAGGTTCCGGCTACAGGCTGGCCGGTTCGGCATTCAAGAAGCCAAAGGTTTTTCCAACACTTTATCGGCTCTACGAACCGGTGAATTAATCAACTAATGTGCAAGTCTTATATATAAAAAATACTTTAAAAAACGGTTTATAAGCAAAGGATACATATGTGATTCGTTTTAAAAAACAGCAAAATAATTGACTGATGAAGATTTGGGGCTTAAATAATTTCAATAAATCGGACAAGATTGTCCACATATAGTAAAAGAACAGTCCTACACAAAATGTGTAGGCTATTTAGCATAATAGCAGTTCTATAGGCCGGATCAAACAAATTTGTGCCGCAAATTTAGTGTTTATTTTACAATATACATTATTTCAGAGATTCGTAAATGCCCCTTAAATCAGTTCAAGGGGCAAAAGGATTTGTTTTCATCTAGTCTCTTTTCATAGGATTGTTTTAAAACAGAAATGGTTTGTTTTAAACAGGAAACCTCCTAATCACATCAAACATATCCTAGTCTATTCACGAAAAGACAAAAGTTAAATTAGATTTATTAAATAGCCTAAATGTCAAGCATGATTTTGATATACAAACGAAAAATGTCTCAATAAAGTAACCATAAAAATATTTTTTTATATTTTATATAATATTTTCTCCTTAAATGAGGCCATTAGCACGTTCATTACCTGCTCCCAGGAGGAATAACTTGCCCCCAGCGATAATTTTGATCAAAAGACTAAAACCACTGTTGTCTGCGAGTGTCTAGTCAGTGTGTTTGGTACTGTTAACAGTTCAATGCGTTTTTGAAAATGAAGTGCTCAGATGCCTCACAGTGTTTTTGCCCGCTGCATACCTTTTTCAGACCCTCAGCGACTTCATTCCCAAAAAATCTCCTGTTGGGTGATGTTTTTATTGTCTCCATCAGCAGTAACATGAAATATCAGCCCTTTGGTTACATAACAACCTTTAAAGAATTGGAATCAAGGGTTCAGCTTTTCAGTCATGAGAAATAATGTAATATAAGACATCTCTTAATGATTGCACTTGATAAGTGAACATTACAATTTATTTATTTTTCATTTGAATTATTTCATTATAACCACTTAATTTAGTTTTTCCTAAGTCTCTAAATTGATTAATTTTCTTTTGCCTTTTAAGTTTTATTTATTGATTATTAACTATAGACTGTGTTATTGACTTGTCAGCTGAATATTGATACATACCCCCATAAAGTTTCATGACACAAATTAACATTTGAAAATAAATCTTTATTATTGCACACCTACACTCACCAGCAGCTGAAATGGTTAGTACTAGGGGACAGATGGGCTTCACACTTTCCTTCTGGCAGGTGTGCAAGTTTATATAGCGTTGGTAAGTAAAACTTGTGAAGGCATCAAAAGAACTGGGACACTGGAAACAAAAAGGTCAAGGTGTAGTTGAGGGCAAAACATATTGCATACAACATACACAACCTGCAGGTGGGGCTGATAGGTTGAAAGCAGAGGGAGGGACCCAGTATCAGGTATCTGCTTCTTGACAAAACAAGAACCCGAACACCTCCAGGCTCTCTAGTGTTTAACGAAACACTTCTGTGTTTAAATAAACAGAACTGTAAGCACTGCGTCTCATGATGCTATAGAGTACAATATAAAAAACGAGGCAACCAAACACAGGGTTGTTTTATTCCATTTATTTTGCTAATCTTACTTTCACTGCTTACCTTTAATTTTTCTCTTTTTACAATGACTGAAATTATATTTCCCCCTGTAACAATTAGGATTCGATCATTTGGGGAAGCTTCAAAAATAATATACAGCTGTAACCAATACTATAATTTATACATTTATCTTTGAAAATAGGCATAAATTTAACTTTCTCTTTTCTACAATATTCTCTTTTAATCTTCCCATGTCACATAATGGCAAGCCATGAACTACTACAGTAGTGATGTTTGTGCCGTGAGCAAAACTTTCTTTGGACACTGGAAGTGAGTGAGAGAGAGAGAAAGAAATCACAAAAATTCATATTTACAGTTTAGGTTTCATCACTATAATTTAACAAACTGACAGTCACATGGTCAGTGCGTTCCCCAGGGCTCATCATCAGGTTAGTTTAGAGACAAAGTTTGAGACACGGAGGCACAGTGTTTAGACTAACAGGCCAGTTTGTTTGTTTCTGTAAGGGCAAGCTCAGAGTCTGTTGATTTATGATTTATAAGAAAAGGAAAATGTTTCCAAAAGCGCGATCACGGACCCTGATAGATTAAATGATCAGTTTAAATTCAAACATCTGTCTTTGGTCATACTGAAAAGCAGGAGTTAAAATAGAGAAATTTGGACCTAGTTAAAGTGCAATCAACTCCAGGAATGCTTCGTCAGCTCTGTGGTCTCACTGTCTAGTTATTCTGTTGCCGGTCATGTTCGTCTCCAAACTTTCTTCAGATACTAAAAATTAAGTAGTATAGCCTCCTGTGTTCAAGTGTCATCCCATTTCCTCTTTGCAATGCAAAATAATGATTCATTACTACAAAGAATAAAGTATTAAATCTGTTGGGACAAACCTCCAGTCACACTAAAAGGCAAGAAGCTGAACTCAGCAAGCCTGGGTTTGAGGTTTTAGGTGTCCTGTGTTGACATTATGAGGTCTCACAACCTACGACTCCACTAACAGAAATTATAGCATATGATAAGTCAGTCAAAACGTTAAGTGAAAATGACTGAATCAGAGATATACAATAAAAATAGGTGTTTCCATGCAGGACCTCACTCCATCTGGGAAGACAACAGTAGAAACTGCAGACTCTGCCATATTTCTAAAAGCACAACCCTGAAGAGGTCACAGCAACGCCAGCATTATGGAAGAGTGCAACAACCTCAACAAACGACCACTCTGCAGCAGGTCACATTCAAGCGTCTGCAACAACGAGTACCCCCAAAGACACCGTGAACTACCTTTGAACAGTTTTTCTTATTTCAAGAAAATCTCCCACATTCATTCAGCGCAAATTAATCGCTCTTTGTGAATTCCAAAATGTACAAACATATTTTCAGCAGGACAGATCACAGAGTGTGAGTTGTCGTTTGTGTCAAATGATGAATAAATATCTGTTGTTTAAAACAAGATGAAAAAAATAAACGGATACTGTACACGCTACATGCTAGAAAAGAATACAGGCAGCTGTCTCTCAGCATAAGACAAGAAGAAGAAATGTTCTTTTTCTTTGGACTATAAAAATACCTAGAATCTAGAATGAGTGTAGAAAAAACTTTACATGTACAAGTCATTTACATCCAAGGCCATTTTTCCATGAGTGGCAGGTGAAGAAAAGCAGTGAGAAAGAGGTGAACAGGGTGAAAAATAGGAATTCTTCTTAGCATATTGGTGCAGAACGCCATGCTGTTTGGAGAAAAACAACCTCTCACTGCTATCCCTTCAACTATAAGTCCGTCAAAATGTCAGGTAGGTAAATCCGACATTTGTGTCCAGTTTATGAGTCAGAAGGAAATGTCCACATAAGATGGTTATTGAGACGGCTGCACGGTACAGATAAGCATCAATCCAAAATCAGTCCGTACGTCTGCGAAAAAGCGGAATTTGCTTCAACAGGGGAAATTAAGAGCAGGTTTGTTTCATCTGCCCTCCACCAATGTCCACTTTGTTGCCAAGCATTATTGCTACCAAAGTCTGCTGTGTCTCTTCAGTATTATATCTGTAGATCAGGACTGGAAAAAGATACCAACAGCCAGAAAAAAAGCTTCTCTGAACTCCCGATGGCTGAAAAAAAATACAGTATGTAAATGGTAATTAAACCCATCCAAGACATGGCTGCAAAGTGTTGTAGTACTCTTGAATATTTCCAGTTCAATATGGCATTACATGTAGTGTGATGTTCCTTTTACATGAGTGGGATGTCTGCAGCCAACACCAGTCCCAGCTTTGCTGGGATGTCAGTAGCAACAAATCCCGCTCACTATCATCTTTATAGGGGCTTCAAAACTATCTTCATTTATGATTTGATCCCTTCACAATAAACTTTTTTTTTCTATCAACAAAAAAATAATGAATTCAAAACAAAACTTAGTGCAAAGTACAACCATTTGATTATTCACAACTTCTCATTTTTCAGTCTTGATAACATTTGCAGGTCGACAATAAATCAAAATAAAAGGGTCTCGTTACCTGGATAAGCTTGCTCCCCATCACTTTCACTCAGCAGCGGAACACTGGGGTCAGGAGGGCTGTACTTACAAGAATCACTCATCAGTTTCCCTTCATGCTTAGTTCAAGTGTTCGGAGGTTTACAAAGTGAACCCATCAGTATGAGCAGGTTACATTTTGTCAGTTACAGTACCCACAGTCTACACTTAGTGAGATAAGTTTGAGTTATCTAATATTTGTGCCTGGGAGTGATGGGAAATGTAGTAAGTTTTTCCCCATTGGAGGTTTCCAGCCCACCTGAGCTCCAGGACCCTGTTTCATTGTAAAAAACAAAAAATGAGATGAGGCTAAGTATAAACCACCCAGTTCCTTCATTTGAGATACTGAAGCTTATATTATTCCTCCTAGTGCCTTTAAGTAACACAAGAGCAAATGTCAAACACCTCACACACACACACACAAAAAAAAAACAACCCTCCAGGTATAGAAATGTCCGTCACTTGGGTTCACAGGAAAGTACTTCGGACTTGATCAAAAGGACTGTTGTGGGGACAGGTAGACAGCACATCAAGCTTTAAACATATTAAAGACAAATTCAAAAAGAGAAATTGCTGCTGCGATCACCTCTCCCAGTGCTTCATACGGTTTTCTCACTTGTGATTAAAACTCGATTCAGCCTGGTTCAGGAGATCACAGCCCACATACTGTACCACCACCATCCCAGTAACACTTCCCTAAATCGAACTGAGGCATATATGGTACGTATAATTAATGAATACTTTTGATCACCTTTAATTTAAGGCCTTTCGGTAGTGTATAATTGTCTGATCTTTTTTTTTTTTTTTGACACTTTGTTGGAAAGGGTCGGGAAGATTTTCTACTCTTTACGATACGGACCTCTTGCACACATTTACACATTCACTCACTCGACAGAGGAGACTCGGGTCCCTCTAGCCAAATACATGGAAGTCACCAGAACCCAAGTGTATTTAGGAGAGTTAAGACATACACGCTCAAGGACTATCTAACAGAAAATTGGTTCTTTTTTTCTTTCCCTCCCCCGCCAGACAGCCATGAACTTCTTTCTGGAGGGAGGAGGATGAGTTGAGTGTGTTGTCATTTTCCTACCAAAATCATGTCACGATATTTTCACATCCTCTCTTGATAGTTTTCTTTTAGTCTCCAATATTTTTAACAGCCTGAAGAGTCACTGCGTGTTGTCTATTTGACCTCTAGGATGGAGGGGTTGGACTCCATGATGGCCACGATGATTTTGTCAATGTAGTCCTGGAGTCTGTAGTTGATTTCCTCCTGTTTGTGGATGGCCTCCATCAACTAGAAACAGAAAAAAACAGAAGTCAGTGGCAATAAAAGGCACAACAGAGTCTCACACTAGCACTTGGTGAACAAACAATGAATGTGTGTCACAACTTCTTTCCTACCTCTCCACGAGACACAGAGTTGATCTCAGCTGCCAGGGAGTCGGAGAAGGAGGCCGACATCAAGTTCTTGGCTCCCTGGATGCTCAGGTTGATAATCTGGCCGTTTAACTCGTCATTCTGCTCCTTCAGGCTGCGGTTGTCCTGGAGAGGTTCAATCAAATGTAACGCATCATAAAACAGCACAGGATCCGGATCCTAAATTGTTCTTCCATTTCAAAACAGTATGGTTAGAGTGATAGAGAAAGGAAACACTGCATAAAAGTGAGTGAAGAGGCAGAAAATTAAGGTGTGCTACCTGTTTAAGCCGTTTGATCTCTTGCTCCAGCTCGGCTTCGCGGGTGCGGGTCTGATATTCCTGCAGCCCTGCGCCAGGTGTGCGCCCTCTCTTTGCTTCGGCCTCCAACTTGTACAGCTGTAGGTGCTCAAGCTGTTTTCGCAAATCTTCAATGAGCTGTGGTACAAACAAACCAACAGACATGAGTTTGTAAAATCATTAGGAATTTTATAAAATTGAGAGGTAGAGGGCAAACACACAGGAACATTTGACACATGACAGTGATGTCCCACATTGTATTGTAATATTTTGTACATAGAGAAACCAGTCCCACCTCCTGTGTGCACTCCTTCTCCTTCTGGCTTTGGTGGCGCTCATGGCTCAACTTGTCACCCATCTTCCTGCGGGACTCCATCTCCTCCGTCAGCCTGTCGGACATGGTTTCTGTCTCATCCTGCAGCTTCCTCTTCTCCTGGAAAATAAAGAAAAAACAAAGCAGGTGAGGATGAAGAGGAGTGTCCAGACGGGTGAGAAATGGAACTTAGGAGAAAGACGTTATTAGGAGCACGTGAAAGACAAGACAAACTAATAGACTGCCCTCACCTCCTCTAGTCTCTCAATGTTTGCTCGAAGACAAGGAACACAAGACCTCAGCTCGCTGTTCTCCTCGTCCAACTGCTGCAGCCTGAGAAACAAACACAAACCCTTCAGACAGGCAAACACAAACACACAAAGACCTACTGTATAGCCACAAATGAACATACACATTGTTGATAGTAAACAATACTATACCATAGAAAAGTAGCTTACATTCAGTGGCAGATTAGAGCCAGAGTGTGGCAGTATAGAGCCATGACTTTTCATGCTGCCACCGAAGATATCCTAAACACACCCAATCTTTTCTCGTCTGCTCACCTGGCCTGCAGGTTTTCCACCTCCATCCCCCTCTCCCGCTCCAGCTTGATCAGGGCCTCTTTGTGACGACGGGTCTCCTGCTGCAGTTGCTCATCAGCGTGGACCTCCTGCTCCTTCAGTTGCTCCTCCAAGGCATTGGCCCGGTGCACCAGCTGAAGGTTCTCCTGGCGCAGCCGCGCGTGCTGCTCCCCCGATGCCTCCGACTCCTTTTCCAGCTCCGCCACTCGACGCTCAAGGAGGAGCACCTGGGAAAAGTCAATGTTTCATGGTTATGAACATAAATAGTTGTTGATGAATCATAGTTGATTACTCTTACAACTTATACTAATATCTGTCAATACATGTTCCTTCCTCCATGTGACATCTAATATAACAGGTGAAAACTGTGGCAGCTCGCAGATATGAAAGTGTGTAACCAGAGGGATGAGAAAGATTAGCAGTTAACTTCTTTGACAGATGACCTCTCACCTTGTCCGTGATGTCGTTGTCAGCGAGCTCCAGGATGTCCCGCGTTAGGTCACTCATGGTGTCCAGAGTCATCGAGCTGTTCTGGAGAAGATGTCTGCACGAGGAGGGAAAACATTTTACTCAACCGTCCCTGGAGACAGTTTACATTTGATAAATAGCCTCTTCCCTCTGCCAAACATAAACCATTTGTTACAATCGTACAAAAAAAAAAAAAATGAACCCTTGCCTACTGAATCCCAGCATGTATTTAGCTTACCTTGCCACTTTCTTGCTGGACAGCCTCTTGCCAGCGCTGAATGGGGGAGACAGAACAACAGGAAAAATGGTCAGGAAGAGAAGATAAAGGAAAGAGACACCATCTCCTGGTATTCGTCCCATTAACCCCCCCTCACCCCTCTTCCTTCTCTCTGAGCCCCACAGAAAAAAAAAGAGAAAAAAATGTGTATGTTGAGGGAACAAATCACTGAGTTTTTTCTAAAACGAAAGCTACATATTCACACATCACAGCAATCTAACACAAACACAGCAGTGTTTATCAATAGTGTCTAATAAATGCTGATCTAGGATCAGTTTTGCTTGACAGATACACAATGACTTGTGACAGCATTGTAGAAACTTAAAAGGAGTTTTGTAGATTTTAAAAATTCCCAATTAATACTTCCTAATGTTCTCACCAAATTCAGTTGTTGAACAGATTAAATAGGAAGTTTCTGTAAAACAGCTACTGGTCAGTAATCCTGGATCAGCAGGTCTGTTCCAATAAAAGCAGGTTCTTTGAAAAGCTTTACTACCAGCAGTCATTCTGCAACAACTCAAATGAAGCATGAAGACAATGGCATGAAGAACCAAAAACATCAAAATACACACCACTCACCTGTGATACAGGAGGTTATTGTTTCATGTTTCTACAGCTTCTTTCAAATTAACTTAAGCTTGTTTTGAGCTTCTTTTCAGAGGAGCAAAATGTTTGTTATGGATGAGTGACAAATTATAATTTGTACAGATGGTAACAACTGGAAGGAACTGGCTACCATCATCTAAAAAGTGCATCATAGCCACTGAAATAGTGATTTTGTCCTTCAATAAATGCTAAATATTAACACACTGCAACTCACACAAAAAGAAGGCGCCGATGAAAAAAGACTGGGAACAATGTGAGGGTAAGATGGACCTAAAATATCCACCATAATGTGTGTGTGAAAGAATCTGTAACATAACACACACCATGTTGTGGCTAGTCCAACACAGCATGCACACATTATGAGAACATGCATGATACTGTCTCTAATCAGCACTGCAAACACACTCACACAGCTTATAGTCGGAATGGGATGTGAATGACGTGTTACCTAGTCATCTCTAGGAAATTGAGGCGAGTGGAGAGGTCCTCGAGACGACTTATTTGTTTGTGACACTGGCTACAGAAAAAGTCCAGCGCCTCCTCCCTGAGGAAGCTCTGAAAGCAGTCAGGGAGAGGAGCAGGTGCACTGGAAAGAGGAAACAGGGAGGAAGAGGAGGAGGAAGTGGTGAGTGACGGACAAAAAGGGGTGCACTGAGGTGGGACGGGACACCTCTGGAGGGTGCAGGGGGTATTAGTGAAATCCACAAGAGAGACTGAAAGAGTAAAGTGTGAGGGCTACAGTGGGAAGGAGACGTGAGACAGACAGTGGTGTTTTCTGGATAGTGTAGGGAAACATTCTTGGAGGAAGTGTGTGTTGATGAGATCAACCTTTGCCGCGAGCTCAGAAAACCTACAGAATGGTTAAATAAAATAATATAAGCTCTCAAGCAAACAAATGAAACTGGTTGCTTATTTCTTTGTTTGGAGTCTGTAGCCTCTCCTCACATTACCTCTACCAGCTGATTGTTCATTCAAGGAGCGAGTCAGGTCTGAATTATGCAATACACTGGCACAGGTCCCTGTTTATGTAGACAGAAACAAGGTATGGACAACTTTGAGCGAGTGTCACTTGTGCACCGTTGTACTGAGCCATTTTCTTCTGATGACTTTGTTCAACAATAAACACACAACCAGTGTGTACGTGTTATCAAAGTGATATGCAGATAGATAAAATGTGGGGGAGTGTGTAGGCAGCACTGTTACATGCGCCAACAATGAGCGTGACTGGCTCAAAACATGGTGATGCATTCACACTGAGTGGGTGAAGTTTGTGGGATGGAGGTTTTTTTTGTGTATGATGTTCTTAGCCTAACTTGTATGCCACGAAATATTTCACTTACTTGAATTTCATTCATTTATTATTTAGGGTTCTCTACTATCATTTGAAGATAAATAATTAACCTATGTGTGTCACTTTGTATATCTTTTTTTTTCACTTTTGTGTATCCTTTAGCACTGCCAGATTATTCCTGTATTGTCAACAGGCTAAAAAAAAAACTAGGCAGTTTGTTGTTTAGAGCTTACTGGAAAGGCAAATCACTTAAAAAAAATCACCCAAGTGGGAATTGCATATTATCTGGCTTTGGGTCTCTAATGAAAACAGAGTAGGAGGGAGGAAAAAGATTACTGGGAAAAGGCTACAATAAGGACAAATGAATGGTGTCATAGAGGAGTGTGTAAATGTGTATATAGTTGGCTGTATTTTGGTGTTTGGAGGACATCTTGCCCTGCTAAAGTCAACCTGTGTCTGTACTACTGCACCCCAGAGCTTCTTAGGTAGTCGTCAAGATGTCTGAACTCAATGCAGCAAAACATCCACCGTCTGTCTGCACCAGAAGTCTTGGCAACAAACGCCGCCCTTAAGACTTAAACAGTGTAAGTCTAAAACATTTACTCATGAAAGACAGCAAAGTTTTAGACCATAATTGAACCCTAATAGCCACATTTTCATTAACTTTGCAACAGTGAGAGTCTGATGGAATGAACTTTGTATACACTTTGTTTATCTTGCCCTTCAGAAGAAAAGGCGTCACGTACGGGTGGGAAGGACGTCTCCAGATAGCTCTTATCAACGTTTGACCTCAGCTTCTTTGTTGAAATAGAAACATTTTCTCTGAAGAACGTAAATAGAGGCATTAAAACCTGGACGATACAGCTGAGAATGTAACAGTGTCGCACCTGTTATCAGGAGGGGGCTGATTTAAAAAAAAAAAGAAAAAAAAAAAAAAGTTGTCAGCCTGGTGAGAATGATATTAATATTCAGTTAAATCATCTTCACACTGTCTACATATTAAAATGCCCTCATACAAGAGTTCAACATGTAAAAGCTTTTAACTTGGTTTAGTTGTGTAGTGAAGACAGGCTCATACCTGGGAGAGAGCAGTGAGGAGCCATTGACCTGCTCAGGAGGCTGCACGAGAGGGGAGTCGCCCCCCTGCTCGGTCCCCTCCACGCTGCTCTCCAGTAGCAACTCTGAGGTATTACTTTCCCCAAAGTCCTCGAAGTGCTCCTCCTCTCCACCGATGACCGTCACCAAGGAGTGGTTATGGAGCTCAGAGTTCAGGGAAAACCTGGGGGACACAAAATAATGGATTACTGTGTTAGTGTGTGCGCTCACTTGTGTTTATAACAGCCACATAACCATCCATTTAGGAAACCAGAGTCAGCCAAACCAAACAAGGCCCATCATTTTGACTCCATTCAAAGAAAACAGACATGCTACAGTGCTAGAGCAATAGTATCTGGGTAACATATTGTAAAAGGCTGCGTTGGACCCAGAAGCTTTGGAATGACCAGAACCTACTGTAAATCCCAAACAAGTACAATTAATCTTCCCCAGGAAGAGCGGCAATCTGGACAAGTTCTACAATCACTTGTCTTCAAATGGTAATCTGTTAATTCACATTAATCCCAAAGGCCGCTTCGACTGAAAGAAAACGTCTTGTGCCTTGCTGGTAACGCAAAACCTCGGTGGTAACACTTGAGACATATGAGAGCAACTTTCATGTTGTTTTATGCGGGTCAAGCTTAAGAGATGCCCTTAACCATGTAAACAGAAAGGGCTGTGAGTTTGGCAGTCGGAACTGGCTGGCTGTCTTATATAACTGACACAGTTAAAAGAGTTTGATTTTCATTTAGCAGGAAAGCTGGAAAGCTGGCCTTTTCTGTTGTCCAACAGGATATGTTCGATGTCTTAAGCACACACACACACACACACACACACACACACAGGACGAGGATGTCGCACTCAGCAAAAAAGCTTGCTTTCTCAGCACACAATGACAAAGCCCATTTTGCTTGTTTACAAGACGAATGACATTCATTTGTCGTATTCAAAGCTAAAATATCACCTTAATTTGCGGTGTGAAAACCTAAAATCATATACAGTTACACAAAAAAGGCGGTCGCACTTAGAACACTCTCTTTTAACAGACAACAATGCAATTTCAGCTGCAGCAATGACCTGTACAAAAACTAGTTAAATAGTAACACAACCAATTTTGAAGTCACTTACCCTTTACTCAGGCTCTTACTGCTTGGCCCCATATTGAGGTCCCTCACACAGAGGGAAGGCGAAGAGAGGGAACGCATCTTTAAACGCCCTCCGCTGCCCCGGCGTGAAAGCCGTGGAGCAACTGGAGTTAAAACCCCGGACAACCAGAGTGGAATCCTGAAGTTTCACAGGTTACACCGATTTAAAACTAAACCAGGACTCCCCAGTTTGGAGAAAACAAAAGGGTCTGCCTTGCCTGAAATCTGTGGTCCTAATGAGCTGCCAATCTACAGCCCCACATGACTGATGTAGCATCGTCTGTGCCACTCGACAGACTTGAGGCTGCACCAGAAAAGGTTGACTGTGAGCAGGTTAATCAGATTTGAGGCTAAGCAACGGCCAACAGACAGTCCTGCTGACTGTCCGAGGGCCAAATGTGTGTGGGGACACGGGTAGGACAGAGGAGGGTGGGGGAGGCTAATCCTGTTAAGATTCTTAATCCCCAGTCTAGCGCATATACTCCTACGCTTAGAGGCAGCTGGGCTAACCAGGCTGCATGGCAAAATCTCAGTTTACTTACTGACCTTTTTGTTGCATTTGCTCACAGACATTGAGCATTTGTTTCGGACTTGGAAAACCCCTTAAAGTTTTGGGCTTGACAAACATGTAATCTCCATTCACAGACTGTCCAGACGTTCACTGGTGTGATAAAGTCACTAAGAAATCACGAGAGAACAGTCTGAGGGTGAGGTTCCTGTCAGTAGTGGACTTAGCGGGCCGATGGTATGACTAAGTGGAGGGGAGAGAATCAGATTAGCCAATGCCAAACAAAGAAAAAAGGGAAAACAAACAAAAAAAGAGCTAACTCAACACTTCCTGGAATTCAAGGCTCAATCATGGAATGGGAAGTCCAAACACATCCATGTCAGGCAGACTCTCCAGTCCATCATCAAGCTGGACAGACAGGTCACAGAGTCAGCAGATGAGGCCTCAGTTCTCTGCACTTCCTCACTTGTGTTTGCCCAAAATACTACAGAACATACAGACCTTATCTGCAGCAACCACTACCAGCAGTAGTAGAGACTGGATCGAATTCAAATCAGGATAAAGCAAAATAGAAACTGGGTCCACAATCAGGGTTTGATCTATACCCTAAAATATTTAAAAGCTCCTACTCATCTGATAAAAATGGATCACAGAAGCACGAGGGACAGTTTGTTACTACAGGTGAGGGACAAATATAAAAAAATAATAAAAGAGTGGAGAAACGCAGATGCTGCTGTGCACCAGGGCTCACTGAATGGCTTGGTGAGTGTGAAAATGACCTGAATAAAATGCTACGGCCTTGTTTTTCTTTCCATCTGCTGCACTCTGGTCCCTCTTGCAAAAGAGATTTTGATCTCAATGAGATTACCTGATTAAATAAAAAGTATGTATAAATAAGGGAATATCTTGTTGAGGAATGGTGTTCATCCCTACATTGGAGTTCCACAGACTTGGCAAGGAGCATTGAAGCTGTTCTGGAGGCGGACTCCATACTAAAACTCTTCAGACCTGAGTACAGCAGATAGAAACTAAAACAAACACAGCGTGACATAACAAAAGGGCTTTGAGCATCAGAGAGCCACAGATACACGTACTACAAATTACTTCATTTACCACAAATGAGTTAATTTGCAATAATACCACATGTTGAGCCAATTAATTATAATAAGCTTCACTAAACATATTAAGTAAAGACTAAAAAGAATCCAGCTCCAGTCCAAAGCAATCATAAGCCTAAGAACGTAAGAAAAATGAAAAGACACATCAGGCTGTCCTTCCAGAAGGGATAACGAAAGAGAACATTTTGCATACTGTTTACGCCATAAACTGAGAATTCAAAGAGGTCTCAGTCTCTTTTCTACCGATACAAATGATGATCCACTCAGACATAACTTGGGTAAAGAATGGTAAAATGGCTTTCTGTGTTCAAGGTCTCGGGCGCACCATGCTGTGCACATTCGAGGTTATTTCTGAATGAGGTTTCCTGTTACCGTACAGAACACACAGTCAATGTCCTTGCTGACTATGTTTAGTGTTGCCTCAAACTGTCTGTGACAATACATGATGTACAAGTACATGAGGAGCTGCAGTCAAGGAACCAAACACAGAAGAACAGCGCGATACTGTAGGTTTGACTGACTTTCTACCCACTGGTGTATCGAGGGGAATTTAAGTCGTTAGGTCAATACAGTGGTGGCTGTCTACTGTCTGTCTGGTGACCTAAATAGAACCCAAGTGATCCTGCATTGGGCATGCAAAGAGTTGTAAACCACGTGCTCTGTGTGAAAGGTCAGTGCAGGGCAACTCCAGCGCTAACCCTTAGCCGGAGATTTGCCACACATTTACAGTCAGTTCTGCAGACAACTACGAACAGTATTATGACATTGATCTGAAGTGGATTACAATTGATGATGTATGACAGAAGTCATTCAAGGTCACAACTAGCCTGCTCAGCATCAAACACAAAGAACAGTATGTATACAGGAAACATTGAGGATATGAGAGTACATGAAGGTGGACTTTATACAGACCTATTTCCGGCATCTTCAGGGTCATGTAGCGTGGCCTCAATGCCGCTGTCCGTCTCCACATCTTCATGCATCTCGGGGGGTACAAGCGCTCCTGTGTCTTCATCAGTGAAGGTCTCACACTCACTATAAGTGCTCTCAGAGCCCAGGTACGCACTGTCTGTAACCTCATTTTGCTGCAGTAACAGAAACAGAACAAGAACACATTACAGTATGCCCACCAAGCAGTGAACCTTCAAATCCATACAGATCTGAATAATTCAAGACAACACTGCATGAACATGAATGGAATTTAATACAAACTAAAGTGGACACAGTATATAGTATTTCTTTTCTGATTAAATAACAACAACAACAACAACAACAACAACAAGGCTCTAGAAAACTTTGCTCCACTACAGCGGTAGTGGACAGACAAAGAAGTAATGCTCAGCAAGCTGTTACCATAATTATAAAGATAAGCAAGACTATGCATTGCGATTACTTCTTGCATAATTTCTAACAATATCTACAGAGTTAAAATGTCATCAGGTGTATTTCAAATTCTGAGAAGCAAAAAAACAACAAACAGCCATTTTAAACTTGGTCTATTTTGAATCTTCAAGTCTAGCGAAAAGGTACCAACGACAAATTACGCCAACGACCAAACAAATCCCAATGCATAAATAAGACTTCAGAGACAACCTGCTGCGATTCAGATGGCTGTTCCAAGCAAAACCTGCTGCATCAACACCTCTAGCCAACACGTTCAAACAAAATAAGCAAGCTTTAGGCTTTCCAAGCAACAAATACAAAATGCTCAGCACAAAACCCACAGACTGACACATGCCAAAAAGGAACATCTGAAGCTATTAGCAACTAGAGACACATTATCAGGTATCACAGCTGTGAAGCAATAATAAAGGCAAGATAGGTGAGTCATGTTGGAAAGCGTACCATTATAAATGAAGCGTCAGGAGAAGCAGGGCCCAGAGGGCTATCCACCATGCCCAGAACCATTCTCCCTGCCCGGTCTCACTGACAGGAAAGCTGGCCTGCCATAAGAGTTTCCTAATAACTCCTGCTTCCTTACATTCACTCTCAGAGAGTGAGAGAGTACATTTGAAAAAAATGGGGGAAAAAAGCGTAACACCTCGTTTAACTCGACTGGGTGGTCAGAGGGGAGGAGACAGAGACAAAGTCCAAAGTGTAGCAGAAGTCAGCTGTAATGCTCAACCAACCAGCTTTCTAGCAGACAAGCCAGAGTTAAAACACCACACGATCAGCTGAATATCTGTTTAATCTTTCCTGACTCCTGCAAGCTTCACTTCCTGGCTCGGAGTGACAGTATAAATCATTAATCCATGTTCTACATGTTGTCGACTGCACAGTGAATGAGGGCTATATCACACAACAAGCTGTCATAACTACCGAGCTGTGTGCCAACAGAAAACTAACATTTTGTTAAGCTACAATCCTCTGAAAGGCCAGGTAGGTGCATTATTTCGGCAAAACAAAAAACACTGGTTATGACAAGAGGGAAGGTCACTACTGTTATGTGGTTTTAGTTAAGATATTAAAATGTGAGATGGAAATGTGAAAGTTAGCAAACAGCAGAAAATATTTAGTAAAGGAAAAACAGAGTGGACGGGGCGTTGCGTTTCTCTTATGCCAGGCCTCAGATGAACAGCCTCACCTTGCCTGTTTTGAAAGCAAACAGGGCAAGAACAGCACAGCCATTGAGAGAGGAGCCCTTTTCTGCCAAGAACTCGAGGGAAAAACAAGGCCACGGACACAGGTGTGGCGTCTACGTCAAGCATAAACACAAACTTCCCCTAAACTCTGCTTACAGGTTCCAGTACATAGCAAAGACACTATATAAATCGCTGGGCCTTACGTTTTGTTAGTTCAGATTCAAATTTACTTTCTTATGTTGAACACATCCTTTTTTGTCAGTGGACAATTTCTGTAACTAATGAAACAAAGTACATAGACAGAGAAGCTCTGATGATGACACATGGAGGGAGAGTTTGCTCAGGACGCTGTTACTTCACTACATCTTTACATAGCAAATAGTAATAGAATTTAATATACAGAACCTGTCACATCTACAAGATCACCCTCAACTTGGTGGTACTTTGTTCATTATAATATATGAAAAGTATTTATTTTCTGTGTCAACTTTTAAACTCAGCCTTCACTGTGTTCTGGAGCCTCGCAGAAGTCAATAAATCCAATGAGACTGCCCAGTAACATCAGGCTTTGTATTAGCGTCTCTTGTATTGGATTTACTGGTCTCAACAAAAAAAGTTATGTTTAAGTTTTTCTTCCACGGTATTTCAAACGAATGCCTGATTTTATCATACAATTATCAACTCATGAAGCCTGGGTAATGGACTAAAGCAGAGGGAATCCATTTGCACTCGACTATGGTACGTGGGTCTGCACTTCTAAACCACACCGGGAGAGGGTGCTGATACTGTGCAATGTACAGCTGCCAAAACAACAGTCATAGTCCTGCAATGCTCGAAGTGCACACAATGGCAGAAACATTGAGATTTTGCGGAGGCCAGCAACAATGATGGTTAAATATACATGTTCCGGGCACAAGAGAAGACAGGAATTCCACATATGCTAACCACAACTGTAAAAACACAAGTCCACACACATGCAAAAACTCAACGCACATTCCAGCTAATTCAATATTTGTCAAAGAATACTCAAAAGCCTAGATGCCTGCCAGATGCTATTTAGTGTCAGCCAAACCAGGGTGTTCAGTCTGTGGAACATTCACAGAGTGGTAATGATAGCTCTGCAAGCCACTCAGTGAATTACAGTGGGAAGAGAGAGTGCACAGGGAGTTCAGCCCGTGACCTCTACATTGTGCCGCTGTGTGCACCAATGGGAACTGAACGCACAACAACTGGACCACATTCACAACTATAGAGAGGCTAAGCCTCTTGTGTGGCGCCTCACCTCGTCATACTCCTCTGGACAGCCGACAGCTCCATCCCCTGGACTGTAGTTTACATTGTAGAGCTGTGGCTCTGGACCTGTAGATATGAGAGGAAGAAGACCGGTTTAATGAGTGCAGAATACACACAGAGTCAAACAGCAAAGGAGGCTCAACAAACACAAGACTTGTGTGTATAGTGCCAACATCCATGTGCAAACAAACAGCCATTATGAAGAAATAAGGTGTCCCAGCAGGTCATGGATTGTTTGAAGAAATGTTTTATAAAATGTATCATAAAAGTACTGATAGACTGAAAATCCATAGTTACAGTGTGTCATTTATGCTTATTTATAAAATGTGTGACTAAAAATCAAAACCCAAAGCATTTCCATGCTTCACAATTCAGATGCATTTTATATTATTAATATGCATTAAGTACACAATATGAAATTAAACTTCCTAGCGCCTGTGAGCATTTTCTTGGAAATATTCAACATGAAAAACAATGGACAACATGAAAACAAAAATTGGATATTACTTTTTTCTATATCCTACTTTCTGGTAAAGCATATTGAAATATTCATTTAAACGTCTGCCAAACTTCTAAAGAAGATATATGATGTGACAAAGGTGTCTTTTCAGCTAACTGAAAGCTGTGCAGCCTTCTAGGCCCGTGAATATATTTACTGGATACAGTATAATACTAATATATTGTATAAACTAATTTCATAATCATCTAATGTTTTCAATAAAAAAAAAAAAAAGATGTTTTTTGTGTAATTTTTTTCCATTTCTAATTTAAATTAGCATGAGATTATTCTTAACCATAACCTCCCACAGTTCAAAGACATGCAGGTTAATAGGTTAATTGGCAACTCTAAATTGCCCTTATGTGTGAATGTGAGCATGAACGGTTGTTTGTCTCTATTATGCGTCAGCGCTGCGATGAACTGGCAACCTGTCCAGGGTACACCCCACCTCTCACCAATGTTTGCTGAGATCGGCTCCAGCCAGTTTCCATTTATTTTGCAGAAGAATATAAGGTGACTCCAGCATGCAATCAGCACATTTTGTGTCCTAGCTGCCTTACTTTGGCATATTTACAATCAGCAGTCTTACCATGATGAGACAGGAAACATTATGTAACTTTTACACTCACATTTCAAGGGCTATCAAATGTCATGCAATAAGGATATGGGCAAAATAAAACAATAAGCAAAGGACAAGAAGCAACCCACATCCAAGTCAAATTTGTCAATACAGGCCTCTGTTGAAAGCCCCTGCAGACAAGCAATGTAATCTGAGACTCAATAGAGCTGTGAATAGCACCCTACTGAGAGAATAGAAAACAAACAGTGTTCTCCAAAGCTGCCAGTAGACCCAAAAGGGATTTGTGCCCCATGGTCTTATCCATTGCTCTTGATGACTCGTACACATTGCAGGCCATTTAAGTGAAATACGTCTGCACCCAATGGGGCTGTGCAGGAGAAGCTGGCTTCTGTTTGAGCAACACATCTGCGGTCTCTTGGCGCGATCTCAAAATATCAGAGGACACATATTTTTCTAGACCAACTTTTGTTGATCTAGACATGCCACAGCCACTACAGGGGACAAGGCATTTCCATAGCCTGCAGGCCTGTCTTTATTAAACAGTGCCCCTGCCAGTAACATGTGGAGCAGAAATGAAATGAAAAAAAAGAAGGTGGAAAGCAATGAAGTTTAATAATGAAACTAGACAGCAGGTGGAGAGCTGGAAGACTTTTCGGTCGCGGAAACGGTGGTAGAGAACATGACATGCTGTAAAGTGTCTGAAAAACTGGAGCCTGCCTTTACGAGCACAGAGGAATTCTGTCAACAGCGTGTGAGTGACTTGGGAAGGTGCAGTAGAGGTTCGCACACTAATGGGAAACTGTCTTCCAGCAGGATTTTACTGATTCACTCTCCACATTGCCGACTACATTTCAGCCAAACAAGCCACCAAAACAACTTTGTTCAAATGATACACGACTACAATTAATACATGACATAGACGTTCATGTACCGCTCATGAAATAGCTATCACACTAAATGTTTTTGCCGATTTAATAGAACAGCTTGTATTATGAATCTGATGTAACAACACAGGTTTGCAACTAGTGAGACGAAGGAAAGGGAGAAACAGAGAGGACAGAGCTAAGAGAAATGACGGTAAATAATTTAAGTGAATAGGACTCTCTGCCCAAACCCCATCTCTCTGCCACTACCGCTCTGAAACCTCGCCAATAAGCCCATGAGTCTGTGCATCTCATGCTTTCCACTGCATGACTTAATAATGATCTGAGTAACCAGAGCTGTGCAACCCAGAAAGCCTTGGGAAAGAAAGAATACCACTCATCATCAATCTGAGTAGACTGAGGAAAGCAGCGCACTATTGTGGTGACATCACCACAACCTGCACGGTATGTCAACACAACCAACGTGTGCAGGAAACTTCCGAAGAGCTCTTTGTAATGATGTCATGTTTGGGGTGTCTAAATCTGTCATGTACACTTCACTAACTGTTGTGAGCATGGAAAATAGTTTAAATGTTAAATCTAGTTAAGATTTGATTTGATTTGATTTGCTGAGGAGGGTAAGCCTGAGAAACCTGATGACACAGCTATAAAGGTGTATAAAGTGTGAAGGGAAATACAATAGGAGTCCTTACTACTTACAGCAGTTTTTAATAGCGTATAAAATGGAACAGGAGGCCAGTAAAAATGGTTAAAGAATGAATAACAGCATTTTGAGTCTAGTTACAAAGAATTTGGGTCAGTCTTCTGCCTTTTTCAAATCCCTCACCTCAGCTGAGCGATGGATGTGAACATACTGTGTTGACAACAATATTTGCCACCATGGGGAATGCAGAGAGCTGGAGCCAGATGCTGGAGACTAAATGTAGGTGCAAGAATTTGCTGTTGAGGCAGGGTTTTTTTGTTGTTGTTTTTTTAAACAGCAGAATTATGGTTAACAGCAGGTTTTCCAAAATAAAGTAGAAAATAAATGTTCTTGCACTCTGAGTACAACAGGCAGATAAAATAACGACATCAGTATGTAAAACATGGAGTTCACCATGCATCACAGTGCTTTGATTAATGATGAAAATATGACCATATCCAATAAAAAAAAACTGTATGTGTTAAAAAGTACATCTGATGACTCGCCTCCATTGCTTATTGCAGAGATTCCCCGGTGGAAATCTTCAAAGCTGATGACTCCCAGGCCACTGGGATCCAAAAACTTTGTCAGATCCTTCACCTGAAAGACAAAAGCAACACATTAAAAATGTAATTTCATCACAGCAACATAACAAAATGACTCTCCCATTAAATTAAATCTTTTGCTCCGTCTGGATGATTCAAGATAATGTCACAAATGACAAGGGGCAAATGATTTCAGTGTAAAAGCACATCAGAAGAACAATCCAGTACTTGATCTAAACATGAGTTACATAAAACCACCAAGAACTCATTCTTAAGGTAATTTCCCTAACATGACAGTTTTACTGCAGAACTGCGTAAATTACAGAAGCAAAAAGTTACCAATAAAAAAAAAAAACAACTGATGGCTTCCAGAATAAAATCAGCTGTTGCAGGCGGGTCAGTGATTTACAATGATTTTAAAGTGCGCAAAGGGTGTGGCCTTTATTCTCTTTGCATGTGGTAAAAAGAAAAAGGGACCAAAGGAAGAAAGAAAATAAATTACTGAAAGCTTTTCTGTTGCAGACAAAGAAATCAGAAGATGTGACAATAGTTTAGTCGATGAGAGCAAGTTTTTTTTATTCTAAACACATTTATTAAAATGCATGCATGTATAATAATGTGAAGCAATATAGCCCTTTGTGCACAGAAATGTTGCAGCACTCAGCTGTTAGATGTTACGTAAGTGCACCTACATACTGTGTATTCCTACAGTCTGTAACTTGGCAACAGGAGGACGTGTGCTTCAGTAATTACAGGACCTCCGAGCATAAAAAAATAACAGTGCACCTTGGAGTAACATTTTTTTAGATTGAAAACTGACTCCTAGTCTATGTGAAACTAAATCTAATCTGATCTGTAGTGAGAGATGCTTCACCTGTACACATTCCTTGGCACATTGCCCCCGGTTAATGCATACTATCTGGTTTTCTTGCTCTTAAAATGCCTGAGAACTAGATACGTGCCTGGAACTGCAGAATTATTGGTGGCGCCAAGCAATCAAATTCTATTTACGCAAATAATAGACGAGGCAAATGTCGTCCATCACAAAATTGCACAGACCCATTATTACAGTATCATTTCAGGCGTGTATCGCTGGCAAAAGTAGCTGGGAGGGAGCCTGAGAGTATGGCGGGTGAGGTTTCTGTGGTTTCGACTCACTCATTTCTTGAGAAAGCGCACAATGTGAACATGGTCATTTTACCAAGACTTGCATTCTGAGTGCGCCCCCTCTCTTCAGCACATTTTATATATCAGTTACACATAAAAACAAGCTGATCAGCTTAGCAATGCTGAGCTCCAACTCAGGAGGCTGAGAAGGCTGAACTCCTATATAAACTGAATCCAATAAAACTCCTGTGATCTTATGATCTGGGTTTTGGTGAATTAAACACAGCTGTACTTAGGGAAAGGAGGGGAGCGGGTGATCTCACTGAATGGTGGCTAACGCTGCAATAGTAGGTTCAGCATGTGGAATCAAGGCTCATTCAGCTTCCACCTCCGCTACACTAAACATTTCCATACAGCAGATTTGCCACATACTGTAAGCTGAAGAAGGGTTTGTGAGGAAACGGGGTCTTTTTAAGGATTGAACTTGTGAAAAGAAATCTGCGGCTGAGGTCAGTGGTAGGCGTTTTGAGTACAACTTTTAGTTTTCCGTTTCACAATGGAGCATCACATTTCACATGTTCCATGTAGCTATACAGAAACACCTCTGCTGGGTGAGGTGAGAAAACTGAGGTGAAGTGGGGGATTAACTATGAGTGCCTGTGGTCCTGATGACATATTTAGATGATGTAGCTGTTATAATGAGTGAATTCTTATTAGTTATTGAGTCTGCAGTAAGAGACTGGACAGGCTGGATGAAGCACTGTGACAGCCAAGGGAACCAGAGCAATATAAACATACTCTACTGTGGAAGCTATCCATGGCCTACATCAGAGTCGTTAAGCCTGTGCAGCAGTGCCAGGCCCCTTAGGTCTTGTGAGCAGAGCCTGTTGGCTATTCCTAGGTCTAACCTAAAAACTGAAAGGTGAATGTGATTTCAGTCCAGTTGTATTTTGGCTACAAAACCCTGAAGAAATCTCCCCACAGGTGTTAAACTGGCAAACTGTCTCCATTTTAACTTCAAGTTAATTCACTTAGTTTAATGTTGTTGGAAGCACCTTGTTCTGTCACGGATCATCAATTTATGTACTCATTCTTGTTTTGACTGTTACTGTGTCTATATTTGACCTGCTGACTGCCTCTATTGTTTTCTTGCATGAGTCTTGCGACGCACTATACAGTTACAGACTTTAATGGCGTTCAGGCAAGCTAAAACACTCTTAAAATTATTATTTATATAAATACTTCTTTATTTGTTTGTCTCTTTGTCTTCTGTTGAAAATTTTTACTGTTTTCTTGCCATCTATTTTAAAATAGTAGGCTTTGTTTTCAAAAATGCAATTCATAGTATTATCATTAATTCTGTATTATGTAATAATGAGCATCGTCATTCCTAACAAACACAGCCCTGAGAGACAGCGGCAAGGCAGATAACGACTAAACTCAAAGGCAACTCTGTCAGCTGCACGGCTTAGCGGAGCAATGAAGGCACTGTGGTTTTTCTGTTTCCTCTATTTGTGTCTAATCAGTGCCGGGGCACGCCTGACCGCCTCCACACAGACCGCTGTTTTGTGCTTAACCCTGTGGAGAAGAATACCCTTTGGTGAGAGTCTTTCCTGGAGGGGATTTCACAATATTTCCTAAACAAAGCTCTGATAACTATGATCATCTGCCTAGTGGGTTAGCATAAGATGATGAAAAAAAAAAAAGAAGAAGATTGATCTTTGGATATAAAACATTACCACACATACACATAAAAGTGAACTCAAGAGAGGGAACGTTTTGGGGCATGGGACATTCCAATGTGGATTAGAGGGGCAGTACATAAAAGCAGCGGGTGAGGGGAGGGAGGCTGGCTAAAGTAGGGTTGGGAGTGTCGACTGACAAGAGAGACTCGACCACAATGCAGCTCACTATGGCTTTTGTGCACAATTAGGGTCAAAACCAGTGACTGAAACCAGTGAGTGGTGGTTAGAAAGATCTTTTGAACTGAATTCCCAGATTTAGCACATGCCTGAAGGGCATTTCACATCTTATTTTCCTGGTATTCATCATAAGGTAAGAGTGGTACCTACACGCAAAGCAGTAGGTCAACTTTAAAGTGTGCCTAACACAGTCAAGAAATATCAGGAAACAGTAAATGAAATGGTTTCATGACACATCTAACCACTGGAAATCAACCAACCACAAAATGCTTCTCCTGGAAAAGATGCCTCACTAAGAAAAGTGACAGCGCTTGAAAATTAATATAATGAAAGAACAAGTGGTGGGCCTTCATAAGGGAACATCTATGCCTTGGGTAAGCATATAATTGCTTTTGAAATAGGTCTGAAAGTTGGACACTATGAACTGTATTCTGGCTTATATTCAAACCAAACACACAATGCAGTGTGCGTGTATGCACACGGTCACCATCATATCCTGGAATAATTCTGGGGAGAAAATTTGCATGCTCAGCATACCAACACCAGTCAAACATGCATGCAAATGCCTCATGAATACTTTCCTGCTGTCTCTTGACAGGCTGCTGGGATATTTTCAAAGCGGTACAGGATAATACCAATACGCATGCAAGGCCCGCTGCCAACCCTCAACTAAACTATGACAATATAAATACATAATGTTAGTGAAGAATGCCTGTTGTACATAAGCTTGGCAGAAAGTCTGTGAAGCGTGTAGATGCAATGAAAAACAACAACTTAGACAAAAACCTTTTATTATCACACTGACAAATAATTCCTTTTAAAAACATCTCCCTGTGACATCCTGAGCGCAACCCTTAACCCCACTTCAACTTGACATACATCCCTACAGGCAATCTTAACTTCATATTTGTTTTTAAGTGTTATTTATGGATGTTCTTATGAATTAGTGTGACCTATTGCCCTGTGGTTTTCTCAAACACGCAGCTAAAATACTTGTGTTACCAACATGGTCCACAGTAAAAGTCACTAATCTTAGCAGCTCAGGCATAGAGGTTATTCAAACCACTTTCATCTCCAGATAACTGAAAAACAAGGACATATCAGGGCAAAGCCTATTCAAATAAGAACAACACACAATTATCCAAACTGATATGAGAAGAGCGAACCATTCACTAGCTCAGCAAAGAAACACTCTGCACTAGACTGACCTGACTTTCCCACTGATCCTTGAGTTCAGCTAACAAATGCCAAATGCAAATGTTACAAGCATTATATTACATTACTTGAATTCTGAAGATAAGTCTGTCTGGCTGCCTGCTTACTTATTGTAAATGTGAAAGGCAAACATGCCAAAACCTCTGTCTCTCTCTCTCTCTGATCACAAGGACAGAAATCTGAGAGGAGTTTCCAGTAAGAGCAAATTAGCTCCTGGAGCTCTGGGAAACTAGATATCTGACAGATAAACACAATGAAAGACACACAAGTCATCAATCTGCACAATCTGGTCCAAGAAAAACCTCTAGGAAACAAAGGTCCAAAAGAAACAGCTGGACTCTAGATACTTGGGAGGTGCAACTCCACCAGAAACCAAAAAAGTATGGAACAGTAAAACAGGCCACACCTATGAAAGAAAATCAACTCCCACTGTCATGTAAATGTATTACCTTTAGCACTGCCTCGCAAAACAACAGGTGGACTTGATTTACATCAGACTGACATGATAAAAGCTCCCTAAAAACAAGGTCATAGGCAGTTTGTGCACAGCACCCAAACCATGGAGTCCCTCTGACTCAGGAAAACACATTTTACTCTTAATCCTTCACAATTCCCTGCCTGGGGAGCCACAGATACCTATGGCTAGACACAGGACAGATCGGGGGCAATAGAAGCGCTTTGAACTGGGAGATAAGGGATTAAAAAGCATTAGTGAGCCAGCATCACACTCTGTGTATAGTGTACCAACAAGCACTCATCCTGACCCAAAGGCCTTATTCAAAGTTCATAGAAAAGAGTTTAAATTAAGAAGGTTAATATAAAATTATTATTTTTGCCTGAATCCGCCTCATACTTGAATCAACATTTTAAAAACAAGAAGGGACTTGTGTTTAAAATGGATTACAAATATACTGTAAGTGTAACAAGATCATTCTTGCTGCTTCATGAAGAAATAGAGACCAATAAAAGGAGTTAAAGGAAATGAAGACATCTAATGCACGCTCGTCAGGGCACACTTGACAGTTATGCTTATTTCCGTTACTGGTTAGGTTACATAATCGTTTGCATCCATGCTTTTACTGTTATTTGCAAATGGTGTGAACACATGCTTAAGCTCAGTCTGATTCTTGTAAACATTTAGACCGGCACTCAGACCAGCACATCTCACAGGAAGAGAAACTGACTAATCTTTACTCTAGAGCGTGTACAGGCCTGTGTCAAACTCTTAATTTGACTTTTGTTTGAACACCTAAACCTACCATACTCAAAAGGATCTAGATAATACAGTCAGTAACTTCACGCAGGAAAAAAGCAATGTCAAATTCTGATTTACTGATGAGAAGCTAACAGCCACTCTTCCTTTTGCGGATCATATAGAATGTTCATTCAATTAAAAGTCATTAACTCGCAAGTAAGACAAACTACGCATGGAAGGCCTGCCGCAAACAGCCATAAGCAACAAATGAATGAAGGTCACAAGCGTGGAGTGAGACGCATCAGCCATTTGACAAGAGATTATCCCCAAACCACAGGATATGCAAATGGGACGATGGGTGTTTGTCATTTGACATATGGGAGGAACACCAGGCCTGACAGAATTCATTACAGCCAATATGCTTGACTTATCTGGATGATAACCCAAATCTCCTGGTTCCTGAACTCTCACCAAATATACACGACAAACTAACCCAGCCATCTTCCATCTAATGTTGAGAGCTGCTTTGTAGGAAACCCCAAGCAGAGGTCATGTTACCGCCGCTGCATTACATGTCAGGGCAACATGAACCTGATGCAGATCATGAAAACATTTCAACTCATAATTGGGGTCCAGTTTGAAAACAACATACTGTATTCACAATACTATTCTAACAATAGTAATTTTCATATAGATTTAGATCCTAAACAACTTGAAATACAGCTAGCAAAGTGGTGATGGCATAGTGACGTCAACCAGATGGATTTCAGCTGGCAGGCTTTTTTCAGGACGCTCTGAGGTTCTGCAGAAAATCAATAATAAATTATTTACCCATATGAGGCTTTATACGGCTTAACACAGAACTTCCCTCAGCATGCATTACCCAGCAAGCTCAAATCAAAGAAAATCTACAGACATTTAAGTCACCTCACCTGATCGGCCCCATAAGCAGCAGCAAACTCCATGAACTCCTCAATACGAACGAAGCCATCTCCATCTTGGTCTAAAGCATCGAACACAGCTTTTAGTGGGGAGACATCTTCCTCCCTCGTATTCGCAGCTGAGACCATTGGCAGTGAGTCATCTACCACCATCTTAGGGAGGGAAATTGTCTCCACAGTTTGCTCACTAGTCCATCCAGCCTCGGGAGAAGAAGTGTGTAAGTCCTGAACTGAGAAATCAAAAGAAGCCACTTCTTGACAATCTGGCCCTTCAAGCTGGTTAGAGTCGGTCAACCTCGCCTCTTCCCTCTGTTCTGTTGTCGGATTGGGAATGTTTCCGTTCTGTACACCCTCCTGAGGTTTCAAGACCCAGGTTTCCTCGTCGTGGACCTCATCTGCAGTCAAGCACAGATCCAAAGCCACTGCTTCGTTCTCCTGATGTTTGGAACAAATCCTGTCTTCCATCAAATCCTTCGACTCCTTTTCTGCAGAGTAACTCTCACTGGTGTAATCACCCTGGATGAAGGCATCTTCAACCAGAGGCACCGTCAGCGATGAAGGTTCAGCCGACAAACCCAGAGAAAATGAGTAATGCTCACCTTGTTGCTCTGAAGTCACATTTCCAATTACAGTAGATCCTGCATGTTCCACCTCCGACTCCTCTGTTGATAAAGCTAAGGGCACACCTGTGCAGATAACAGAGGGAGGACTGACAGGGCACAGGCTCAGACTGCTATCACAATCTGGAACCTCTAAATCCAACAAAGGCACAGACCCTTCGAAACAGTCCTGTGGCGTGGTGATGTGGTTGTGCGGGAGGCAGTTCTCAGGTAAACCTTGCAGGGTACTGCTACAGGTTACAGGCAGATCAGTCACCTGATCAGGGAATAAACATTTGTCTCTGGTTTCAGGTGACAAAGTCTCCCTGCTCTGTGAGGGAGGAAGACCCACCTGCTCCTCTTGTGACAGGTCTACCAGCTCCTCACAGACACCCTGTGGGTTTAACTCACCTGATGACTCTGGGGGGAGACAAGAGTGTTCATTTGAGAGATCTACCAACAAAAATGGATCGCCTGTGTTGGTCTCAGAAATCTTCGATGGAGAGACCGGCACACTGAGACTTATTAGCTCAGCCTGCTTACTGAGGGCATTTGAGCTCTCATTAGGGTCCTCCTGTGTCAGACTCTGTTCCTCACAACCACAGTTTTCCCCAATCACATCAGTGAGATTGGGAGAAAACAGCAATGACAAAGCACCGTCACTCATTTCATCATGTCCCTCAGTTTTTTCTGTGAGGGACGATTCCTCTATATGAGGACTGTGGAGAGACACTTGGGAAACAGTGGACTGATCTCCCTCAAACAACAAATCTTCATAAGAAAAGTTAGAGATATTTATGAGTTTGTCCAAATCTACATGCTTGTCCTGGAAAACATTGTCTTTTTCAATTTGATGGGATGTCCGATCCTGGTCCCCATTTCTGAAATCCAAACCTGTCTGGCCACTCTTGTTGGGACAGAGCACACCTCCATTGTCTGAATCCAGCGTGTGAAATCCAAGAGGAAATGGCTGTTCTGACTCCCACTGTGTGTGCCCCAAAGGGCCAGAAAGAACTGTCGGCTCCATTTAAACTGGCTGTTCCACTTTGCAAACTTGAGAAAGCCGGTGACGCTTTATCTCACTGCTGTCGTCAAGATCCAGTTCTTCAGTTTCAATGCCATGTTTTCAAATGGCACTACACATCTTCAATGAAATCGTTAAATTAATGTGTGGAAGCATTGTCTACCTCGGACTTTTAAAAAAATGCTGGAATGTAATGTGATTTTATAAATACTTGTATAAGGTAAGAGTATGACTAGACTTTACTAAGGTAGATGTCTAAGGTATGTTAAGAAATAATTTCACTCAGGCAACGGATTAATAAATTGTATTTGTTAATACTTCAGGGGTTGCCTTCCACATCTCTACAAGCGTTACCTAAACTCAAAATTCATATTCATTTCTCTGTCTTTGCTGATGCTGATGTGTTCTGACTCACTATGTCACTTTCTGTCGCGGCAGCTCCGCTCCTGTTTGTTGCCAAATGTTTCAGCTTCAGCATATCCAGCCTCAACATGCTTCACTTCGACCTGAAAGCTGGCAAAAGTCTCAGGACTGAACTGACAAAAACGTGCGACAGCATCTTTGCTTGTGAGCCAATTTCAAACAAATACAATTTAACGCGTTAGGTCGCCGGTGTTTGTCAACATTATCTCTCTTAGCCGATTATCTTAATGTTATCCACGGCGAGCTAATTTGCTGAGGAGCCAGTGCAGCGATGGAAACGACGCGGCCAGTGTTGACGTTACTCAAACCTAAACTGTCCTCTAGCTATAATGCCAACCCTCTCATTACACGGCGGTTTACTAAATATAACAGACTGACAAACCTTCCCATACCTTTAACTCCTCCTTCGAGCATCCCACGTCTTTCGTGCCATTGGCCAGGGAAGCTAACTGACTAGCTAACGAAATTAGCCTATTAGCTAGCTAACACGCCAAACAACCCAGCTTCTATCTCTCGCGATCAAATTGAAACAGATGGTAGCTCCAGGTTTAAGAGGTAACTACGGAAATGGACGCCTCTGTGATACTCCAAGATTATGTTTTCATTTCGATGCCGTTTTCCATCGGCAATCCACCTGTGTCAGTAACAAGACAGGCCAGACGAGTGACGAGACGAAACCGATCTTTCCTCCTCAAATTCTTCTGTTATTCTCGTCTCAGAAAACACATCTGTCACAGCGTCCCTCGTCGAAACCCACAATGACACCGAAAGAGTAATGAATGAGGCAAAAACGCTCCATCGTTTGGCAGTCAGTCCACCGATGTTGACCACAGACAGTGAAAGCTCTCGCATCAGCATCAGCAGTGTCCCATCCTTCTCCTCCTCCTCCAGCCGCATACACACCACTGACGTTTCACGCAAGCGTACAAAATACCCCGCAGTATCATCGGCTTTAAAGCAGTTATCAATTGGGGCCTTGTGATTTGTGTTTGTGCACAATCCCCATGGCTAATAGTCAGACATTGTCCTGCTCTCATATGTCCCAGAATGGCAGAATTTCAGGCAAGCACCCCTTCACGCAAAGGTCAAAGTTCAGGGTCAGCAAAAGGAGCTTTCAGCTGACAGGACGGGTGTCTTGCTCAGTGAAACTTCAGCAGGGTAAAGTATGGTTTCTGTAAGCTTTAATTACTCAGCAAAGATACAATAATAATAAACCAATATCAAATAGTTGAAGAACTCCAGCAGACAGACAAGATTTATTATTTTGAGAAAATAATGGTGGTGTTTTGGTGCCCCCATCTGACTTAAAGTGGTTTTCTTCAGGCTTGCAATTGCTGATTCTTGTTTTGGTCAATCAATCCCAACCTTTGTGGCTTGTAATCCTTTAGAACAAATCATAATCTAGCAGTGCTGGAATGTAACTAAGCATTTTCTCAAGTACTGTACTTAAGTACAAATTTGGGATACTTTACTTGAGTATTTTCTTTTCATGCCACGTTCTACTTCTACTCCACTGCATCTCAGCGGGAGATGCTGTACTTTTTACTTCACTATATTTATCTGACAGCTTTAGTAGCTACTATTAAGCTTTTGACACACAAAATATAAGAAGAGTTTATAAAATATGATGTTTTGTTATAAATTAAACTATCCAACAGTATATTTTGATCATTTATTTAATTTTTCATGCAAAAACATTTCATGGTTCCAGCTTCACAAATGTTAATAAGATGTTTGTTGCTTTTCCTTTTAATTATTTGAATGTAGTGTATTTTATAAAGGTGCTCTGCTCTGGGTAACTGTGACAGAATTCTCACTATTATTTTCTCCTAAAATGCTTACATTTATAAGATTTCAAGGCGCCTGAAGAATTCAAAGTATCCAAAGTAAAAACAAGTCTGAAAAATCTTTTGTGTAACAGTAATATGTTTAATTTTATTGTTATTTTTTTCTTTAATCAACTTGTGACCCCTCAGATGTGGGGCCCCGACCCCTAGGTAAGGAACCACTAATTGAATCTACCTGATTTGCATCTGTTCCTTCCTATGGGTACAAACCAACCTCCAATAAAGTTTTTTGTATGCTAGCACAAGAAACAAAATTCTTGCAAACAGTAATCACAATTAACAGTAATTATAAAATGTTCACAAATAAATGAAAGGGAATGAAAAATCACATAAAATGGCACGTGATAAACATAACTATACATGAAATGTCTAATGACAATACACAGCACTGTAAAGGGTGATAAATCCATGAATTTGATCCATTATTAAGATTGCAAACATATGCAATACAGGTTATGTTAGTGTTTTTTCAATTAACAACACAATCTTAAGGCAACATTGGCTGAAAGAAGTTATAAATACACTGACTCTTTTGTTCCTGGAATAGCATTTACTTTTCTCTTTTCTTTTCAGATGACCAATAACCTGAAAGAAAATGAGAGAGACATGTGGATTAATATGGGTTATACTGTATTCCTGTCATTATTCTATCTTTAACACACCGCTTCTTTACTAGCAAACATCACAGTTTCCCCAATGATGATATCCTAACCTGCTCCATGCATCAGCAAACAGGCTAAGCGCCCTGGTTATATTTTTCACACACGTGCTCCACCTCCAACCTATTTTCATTGGTCAAAATTGACTCTGACGTCCTTGATGTTTCCATTTCCTCTCTAGTCAGCAGTCAATATAGACGATAAGAGACTCATTTACAAGGTTATCGCTCTTTCCAATTGCCTATATAATTGTAAGCCTATGTAAAATATCACAGAGTGCAAATCACAAAAATTTGTTATTTTAGCTGAGGAAATGAGTAAAATATTAGGATTTTTTTTAAATTATGAAATAATATTAATATTTAATAATTATGAAAAAATACCTTAAGACACTGACTCATTTGCAGGGGGAGAAATGATAAGCGGTGCCAAAAAAGGTTCGTCCCCCCCCAAAAAAATCGACCCCTCCTTGGGCTGCGACATATATATCTGGACAATTTTTTGCTTCATCCACTAGAGACTGCTCACTGTATGTTAGGAAGCAGTATAAATCTGAGGTGACACAATGTACAGCACACATTCTTAGTCATGGACCTCAAGCTGCGCCTCCTCCTACAGACCTGGGTCAGGAGGAGGTCAGGGGAGCGCCTGTTCAGAGTTTAGCAGATTTAGAGGAGGCTATACCCAACAGCATGGAGACGTTGTTGGCTGAGGTCAGCCACGCCCCACCATCCGCTACCAGGATGGCACCAGTCACATAGGAGGAGGCCTGGCTGGCCAAGAAGAGAGTGCAGTGGGCCATCTCTGTCTTGTTGCCTGCTCGCTGCAAAGGAATGGACTGGAACACACCAGCAGCCTCCCCTGCGGGACCACCTGGGGGATTAAAAATAAAAAATAAATTCATGCTCAGATCCTCTTACTTACTCTGTTATACTGTACATCAGTGGTTGTGTTTTAGCCTTACATACCCCCACAGCTCTGTCAGATGCGTTCAAGTACCCCTTCACTGGCACCATACATCATGTTCCAAATAAGTCCTCGTGAATGTATTATAATTTATAGAGGGTATTTTTTTTCATACATCTGAATCGTCAATGTTTAGGTTGCTTTGGTCAAGTTTACGTTCATACTACTACCAGTTTGTGTAGCAACTGGACATTTTAACCATTTATTGGTTGTTAAATGTATAGCCCATAAATTAGCCAGTTTGTCAATATGTGGTAATGTGGTAAATCTTTACTTAGTCTGCGGAAGCCCTCTGTGCCAGAGACAGGACCTGGAGCCACTGTATTGACTCTCACTCCACTGGGCCCCCACTCCACAGCCAGGTGCTTGGTCATGGCATCTGGGGATGGGAGAGGCAACATTGAGTCATTATATTCGCTTTCAAATGTCGTCACACAACAGTAAAAAAGCTCCTACCATTTGCAGCCTTAGCAGAGCCAGCATGCACCTGGAGGCCCTGTCCCCTGTAACCGAGTGTTGCAGAGATGTTGACTATGTTGCCACCGTGATTCTGCACACAAAAATGGTGGAGACTCAAAATCGATGCAATGATTAAATAATCAAATCGGCTTCAGAACACATTGGCAGTAGTTTATACCCCTTCAAGAGATGACAAGGCATTCAGTAATCTGTGATCTTTACTGCCCTCTTTTGGTGACCAGAGTGAATTGCAGAGAATGATTTCTTCTTCTGATCAATAACCCAATTATGTTCCTGCAGATACAGTACTATCATTCTTTCTGTGCTATGGGGTAATGAACAACTAACTTATGGCTCCTTCACTTGGACCTAAGAAATATTGTGCCACATATACAGAAAAGTGTGCTGTACCTGGAACCACTTCTCATAAACCACCTTGCTGGTGTTGAATGTACCCATAGTGTCTATATCCATCACTGTCTTGAAGGCATTGAAGGTGAGAGAGGCAGCCGGGCAGAGGAAGTTTCCAGCAGCGTCTGTCAAAAACAGCACAGTGACTTTAACCAAAGCCAAAATTATGACACACAGCAGAACCAAAATCTTATGCAAGATTGGATAAGATTTTATAAAGGCTTCATTAAAGCTATAAATTCATCAACGAAAGACAGATCTCCTCAAAGAGATGATATTAAATTTTATAATCTTGTTGTGATGTAACAGAGAGGACTAGGGTGCAAAGATAGATAAAGATAGATGCAGCATCAGAAATGTTGATGATTAAACCAAAAGGTTTCACACTTTGTTCACTCACTCAGCATTTTGTTAATTGATAAATATAATCTGTGTAATATAAACATGCTTATTTTTGAAAGCATTCTTACTTTACAGCATTTTTCCCACACCTGCCAAAAACTTCTGCACAGTACTGTACATTTGCATTTTTCCCCCCTTCACACACCTTTATTCGTATTAAGGTGTCATTTTCAATGTGTCAGCTATGTTGGCAGGATGCAATGTGTAATGATGGCGAAATACTACAAACTCAGAAATCATTAGCGCAAAGCCATATTTTTAGGCCTGTTTCTAAGAGGTCACATACTGTTTATGAGGATGTCTATGCGGCCCAACTCTTTCAATGTCTCATCCACAGCAGCTGTGATGCTCTCAGGCTGCCTCACGTCTATACACAAAGGGAGACAGCGGCGTCCCGACACAGCACACAGCTTTTTAGCCGCCTAGGGAGACATGAGCCCAACACATTAACATTTAGTTACAGCGCAATGTATTTAATTTAGTATTGTGGAAATGATGTAGGAGGAATAACCTCTTTGAGCTTGTCCAAGTTCCTGCTTGCAATCACTGTGTCACAGCCATGCCTGAAAGAAAACCCAGAAATACAACAATGTGGAAAGAAAACGAGACAACACTAAAGAGCACATTGTGTTGACTGGGACATGATTATGTAGTAAAATTGTAATATCAAATAGCACTGATAGGAAGACACATGGAATTAGTAACTCATGACGAAACAGGTAGGACTGAGGGACAGGAGACTGAATACAACCATGTCAACATGTGATAAAAGGCCACAGGCACACAAAATGAGAGCAACAGGGACACCAACAGATACAGTTACAAGATATGCAGCTTATTGTGATAAAAGATAAATAATTTCTGCGGCATGATTAAATTATTGAAGTATTTTGTCACACAAGAAAGATGATGAAAGTCTGACTGTCAGATAACACAACCAGAAGGTTTAAAGGGCACCTACATACTATCTCACTCACACATCTTACTGTTTTAGAGTACTGTTAATGACATAATGCTGACAGAGCATTGATTATACATGTTACAGATTTATCCTTACTATACATGCACAGATAATGAAAATTTGACTAAATATAGATATTTCTGCAAGGTAGTCTGGTTTTGTGAAGCACTTTGTGACCTTGCTCTGTGAAAGTTTACTAAATCAACTTTATTCACTATTTACTTACTTATTAATCTTCTCACCTCATGAAGATTTCTGCTATCCTAAGTCCAATTCCAGATCCACCCCCTGTGATAAAAGCAACCTGATCTCTGAAAAACAAAGTGCAAACCTTCAAAGCTCTCTTCATGTAGTTATTACAGTAACAAGAATGTCAACAACATTTCTTTACAGACAAACTGTGTGAATGCAGTAAAGCCATACGTTCACACCAGCCAATGGGAAATATATTTAAAAACACCCATTCAAATGCATACTTTAGTAAATCTGGACTGTAGATGTATGTGTACGAAGTCAGGCAGTCGTCTGTACCAACATCTTCGGGCAGCAGCTCTCCTTTTCTCTGTGGCTCTGCCATGCTGCATGTCAAACAGATGCAATCAAAACGGGTATTACCATAACCACAATGTACATGTTTATCATATCCACCTTCAACATGTACATAATGAGAATAATAGTTTACTCTTGCATCCTTTGCACTCTGATTACTGCACTATTTGTTCATAGTGTGTATATTAGTGTTGTCTACTCTGTAGTTTGTGTCTGATTTTATTTTATTATTATTATATTATTTTTGTATAAGTAAGCACATTGTGAGCAATGTACATTCCTGAGTCAAATTCCTCGTATGTGTACGCATACCTGGCAATAAAACTGATTCTGATTCTGAATGTAGTAAATGGTTGGTCTGTAAAAGCAGGAGTTGCACAAAATAGCAGAAACACCATGCAATACAATAACCCTCTGCGTCAGTTTGGTGAAGCTAGCTTTTTAAATCAAGGATGTCAGATATTTAAATTCAACAAAAAGGTATATTTTACTAATACATCTTTCAGTAATTGTTGGTAAGACTGTTTCTATTTTTACTTTTATTTTGAAGCATTTGTGGGCACAAGCTGTCATGATTTTTGTAACTTACCCTGTGCCACATTACAGACTTTAAAGTAAATCACAGTGGCAGCAACTGCCCAGAAGTCATGAAAAACAAATTTGCCTCCCACCACTGCATCTCAAAAGGCTTTAAAAACGGCTTCCTTTGAATCAACCGCCTCCACACAGAGGTCTACCATACTGTAGGATACTTTATTTTGTCTATCATTGTAAACAAGTATATCGCTGTTTAAATCAACTAACGTAACTTCCTACAGCTAGCTGAAGACGGGCCTGCAGCCTTTTACTGTCGGGGCTGTACGGTGAAGCCAAGTTTAAGCTGCTGTCATGTTACCTGCTGAAAAACAAGCTAGTTTTGTAGAGCTGAAAGCAGAAGCGTCCAACTCCTCTGAGATGAAACACGACCCGCACACGAAGTACTTTTCTGTGTCAGACGAAGCTTTTTACATTAATTCACCAGCCATTAAGAATTTTTCTCAGGAGAAACTGTTTGTACCTTGGACCATATGCCTTGGACGCTTCGCTATCTTTTAGTGATGCATTATGGGCAACGACGTCCGTTCACGGTGTGTTCAAGAGCACAAATACCTCACTGCCCAAATCTAAACTCGTTTGTTTAAATAATAGAAATACAAATAATTAATAACTGAGTTAAACTTCAGAAAATACTGTGAGAACAACACTTCAGAGGTCAGGACTGATTTGATTCATGCCAGAAAGTGAAACTATATCAGAAAGCTTCATGCTCCAGGGACTGTAAGGTCTTTGACAATCTGGAGAGCAAAAGAAAACCCACTGCTTCTGTTGCTCTTCTGCATTAAGCACCATCCTCTAGGATGGCACCAGCGAGGGCCTCCACTTGTAAACCAACACTGAAATTAACGATCCGGGGTTTACAGTTTCAGAGCCGATGCTGATCAGTGTGCATTAGTGCAGAAAGTGGCCCTTATTGATCTGTGCTTAGGGAACAACTGTTGAAAAGAGCCATGAAATAGATCCCTAAAATACTTTTGGATGGTTACTCTTCTCAGAGATGTAACATGAGTGCTTTTGTAACTTGATTTGTTTTTCAAGAGTAAACAAGAGTTCTGAGCAGAAATGCACATAAAAGTTCACAAACTTAATAATAAATGATGTGTTTACTTCAAATGACCCTGTGTTTTTGCATTGTTTAACACTTCTGCTACAATTCCCATTCTTCACATTATTACCAAACTTTTTTCAAAGTATTCCCTACGTTTTTAAGTTTTGAATGTGGTGATTCTAGTTATTTAGTATAATACAGTCTTCAAGTTTGATAAAAAGCAGTTGATGTTTCTGTCATGGATTAGGCCAAACACAGTCAAACAATTTGGCTGCAAACTGACCCTTAATAAAAAGGCTTACAATTCAAACACACACACACACACACACATGCATGCCTAAATAAAAGGTGAGCAGTAATGTACACATGATCTGTGCAAACATTTAAAAACATATCGAACTACTTCTGTATTTTAATGCTTACTGGCAGCCAGATGGCGCTATCTGTCAGCATTTTCTTCTTGAATCCACAACAACAAAACAATTTGCAGTACTCTAAATGAACCTACAGCAAAGCCACATCAGTATTCCTCCCTCCATGCATATATGGTTCAGATTTCTGAGACTTCATTCACTTCTCTTCGTGGGGTCTCTTTGTGAAGTAAAGCATGTGAAATATGGTCTGTAAACCATAAAACACCAAGAAATATTCCTTGAATGTGAAAACCTACTTGGCAATAAATCTGATTCTGTGTTTAGGTGTAATGTGATTTAAGGGTTCCAGCAGGCACAAAAACAAAAGGTAAATAAATTGTAGATGAACAGTTGGTGAGTTTTTGTTCAAATGTTCATCTTTTATTTTTTTTAAGATGAGATGTTTCTCCAAGCCCCTTCGAGTATTTACCCCACCTTCTGTATACATTGTAGTAAATTTATGTCTTTGCAAGCACTGTATTTCAGCAGTTCATAAAATTTTTCCAATAAGTTTGAATACAAATAACTTAAAAGGTAAGTATGTAACTTTGTTACTGGTAAATGCTAAAATCGTGTATAAGAGTAGCATCAGAAGAGTCAACAAAACAAACAAACTGACGCACTGATGTGAGTTATCGATTTAAAGTCAGCTAACATTAGCCACCATAAGCTACTGGTCATAAAGCCCCTGAGAGTGCTGAGTACATTGAAGCGAGCAAGACTGCGGTTGTTTATGAAGAATATGAAGTAATATTTTTCCAGGGATACATTTAAATGTTAAAGTCTCGCTTTTTTAGAGTCAAAGGTCCATTTTCAAAGGCTGCTTGTAATACGTGTTTTTAAGTCCTGATGCAGGAACATAAAGGCATGTACAAAAGACCGCAATTACACAGACAACCACAATCATAGACTCAGACAATTAATTGTTCCAATGAGACTGGCACAGCTCAAGCCATAAAGGCCCATTATCCTCTGCTAGCCCAGAGGCAAGAGCAGGCCTACTGCCCCACAGTACTGACAGCTGGTCCTGGTCTCTGTCCCCGTGTCTGTGCTGGGTCTGTATGTGCAGCTTTGCTCTGGCCTTCTGCCTGTTGGTTTGACTTGGCGAACTGTCCCTCCTCCTCTTACGCCTCCTCCAGACCCACCAGCCTGCTGCTGACCTCCCAAAGCCTGCGTGCTGCCTCCTCATCCAGGGCCTGGGGCGCTGGTTCCTTTTCTGTCATCACATCATAGTACCTTCCCGTCACCCCCTCCATCTCTTTGGACACCGCCAGGTAGACGCTGGGCTGGGCCCCCAGCTCTGGGCTCTTCACCAACAGGGAGAAGAAGGGACCTGTAGGGGGGTTGGTGGAGACCACAGGTTTTGCTGGTTTGAACTAGGAGATCTTTTAGAGCCAGAATAAAAGTACCTTGTTAAATGGTCAGTGTCAAGAATCTTTCAAGTACTAACTGGATTCATGTTGTTGATTGTGGTACATAACAAAAGCAAACACTTACATGCATGTGCATCAATTACATTTGTTTATATCCAAATGTGACACACGTTGATTTTTATTATCTTCTTCATTGGCTGTAAACGATAACAAACCTGTCTCCCACAGTGGAGGCTCTTTATTACACCTGAGTGCATGTAATAAAAAAAATCATCGCTGGGTAAAAAAATAACAAGAACATTCACAGAGTACTGAGAAGCTGTGTCAGCAACAGCATCTGCAGTACTTGTGTGGTGATGGCGCATAGATGCTTGCCTTTGGTGTGGGAGACCTGGGTTCGATTCCCACTGTGAGACATCCACCATTGTGTCCCTGAGCAAGACACTTAACCTCGTTGCTCCAGAGGCGTGCGACCTCTGACATGTATAGCAATTGTAAGTCGCTTTGGATAAAAGCGTCAGCTAAATGTGTACTTTTTGTGTTTCAGCGGTTCCATTTGAGGGGGTTGGGGCGATGTAGAACATTGTAGCTGTGGAGGGAAAACCTTGTACCAGTAATTTTGGTGATTTGTTTTAACTTCAGTTTAAGTATTACACGCTCTGGTACAAAAAATTTCCTAAAACCTTTAATCCATTTATGAAGTAAACTACTTTACACTTCATTACAATTCAGATGTAAATATTGCACTTTTGACTTCACTATATTTTCTAACAGCTACAAATTACACAGAAAAATTTTACATACAATAAAAAAATGCATTGTTATGGATTAAACTACTCAACAGTATATAATACTGCTCAAAAATAGCTCCACCTCAACTAACATCAACAGTAAAATCCTTCTTATATATGGAAACAGTATTACAGTCACAGTGGCCATTTTTTTCAGTGAGAGCTTTAAGTACATTTTGCTAAAAAAAAAAAAAAATATTATGTTAGTTAATACCATTTTCAAAGTTAAGAGTATTTTCACATGAAATAGCATAGTCAGAAAGCCATAATGTTTTTTAGGTAAGTATTTATTGATTTCTCTAAATTGAGAATCCAGTAAGGATGCAGGATACTCACTGAGCACAGAGCTCGAGAACTGTGATTGGTGCAGACCCGTGTGCCTCCCGAGCTCCGTGGCAACAACGCCTGGGTGCACAGCATTCACTGTGACTCCTGTGCCTGTTACACACACACACACACACACACACACACACACACACACACACACACACACACACACACACACACACACACACACACATACATACACATACAGCATTGTTTTATATATATCCAATGTCCAATTACAAACAAGAACATAGGCCGTATTCTCTCCCACACATGCCCACATATGTAACAGCCAGTAGACTTGCCTTGTAATCGCTTGGCGAGCTCTCTGGTGAACAGAACATTGGCAAGCTTGCTCTGACAGTACGCCTGCTTGGTATCAAACTTCTTCTTCTCCCAGTTCAAGTCCTCGAAGTCAATCTTTCCAACAATGTGGGCGAGTGAGGCCAGGTTGATCACTCTACTGGGGGCGGACTCTTTCAACTTATCCAGCAGAAGATTTGTCAACAAGAAGTGGCCTGGAGGATGAATAAGGTAGTGATAGAGTAAGGAAGAGGTTGTTAGAATGTAAAGATTTCTATCTATTTTCTTGGAGATTTTTCTTAGAGAGATTAGACAAACTGTCTTAATTAGTACGTACCTAAGTGGTTAACTCCAAACTGCATGTCGAAGCCGTCTTCCGTCTTCCATGCTGGACATCTCATGACCCCTGCATTGTTTATCAGTACATCAACACGCTGCTCCTCTGCAAGACAATAAAGATTATATTATATATAGACACTGATACTGAGTGTGCTTTATTTCTATAACTGAACACATAACTGGAGAAGTGACAGTAATCACTGCATGCAATAAGTTTAGTTTCCTCACCTTGTTTGATTCTCTCTGCAAACTCTCGGATGGATTTCATGGAGGCCAAGTCAAGGTGACACGCGTAGACGTGAGGATTCAGGGTCTTCCCACGTATTTCCTTCGCAGCTTCCTCGCACTTCCCCATGTCCCGGCATCCCATAATGATCCTGCCCCCTGATGATGTAGGAAGGGGATTTTAGATTGTAGATATTGTGTTTTGCAGCATATCAGAGAGATGTCATATTTCCTCTCACACCTCTCTTGGCCAGTTCCCGGGCAGTCTCTTTCCCGATGCCTGCGTTGGCTCCTGTTATAACCACTGTCTTCCCATTAATGGTGGCATTACTAGTACACCGGCCTCCAGTCACATGGTTCCTATGAAAACAATTAAAGTTCAGTGCTTTTTTATTTAGGCATTTGAGATTGTAACACCTCATCATGGATTTCTCTCAATTGAACACAAAACATTTCTTAGATCTGTCTCTCTTGATGGGCTTCAACTGGACCTCGACAAAGCTTTTTCTACCTTGTACCAAATAGGTGTAGTTTGTCATACCTGTGTATATAACAGCCCTCAAACCTCATCCCACTAATAATCCCAGAGCATTTCTTCAGGAAGGTACTTCTTAATAATAAATTATTAAAGGCTGAGCACAGCTGTTTTCAATTACTCTAAGTGAATAGACCTCCTGTCAG